TTCTTTAATGCTTTTTTTCTTCTTCTATGTCCTGTCCTTTGAAATAAATTTTCTCTTCATTTAATTCCTCTTTAAATATTCCATTCTTTCCTCCCTCAGAAATAAACCAATTGCCACGAATATCAACAAGCTCAAACTCTTTATATCCGTCCATTTCAATTTTTTGAATTTCCATCTTCTTATTTTGATAAACATCCTCAGTTTTTTCATCACAATTTGTTGCCAAATACACCAGATAATCCATTTTTTCCCCAATTCTTTCCTCTGTATCAAACACCCTCTTCAAAGCTGAAAGTATCGCTTGGAGAGAGGCTTGAAGAGATGCCATGTTTACATGCAGTTGTATTTTTTCTTGAAAGCTCAGCAAGACTAAAAACACTCGGCAGTGAAAGCAAAGTACAAAGGAATAGCTGTACAATCTTTTCAGATCTTAAGCCAGGACAGCCAAGCAATAAAAGTGTCAGGGTGTAAACAGTCAGGTCAGGGTGTAAACAGTCAACCCTGTTAGGGAGGACTTGTGTCTTATTCATAGCAACAGGGTTGTCCTTCGACTGGACCCTTCATTTATTCCAAAAATTAACTCATATTTTCACAGGGTTCAGGAGGTTGTTCTCCCAAATTTTTGCCCGAGGCCCAGTCACCCTAAAGAGCGCCAATGGCATACCCCATACATGCACAGAACACTGAAGAGATACATTAAGCGAATGTCATCCTTCCGATGCTCGGAGGCTTTGTTTGTGTCATTTCAGCCAGTGAACATGGGCCGCAAGGTTTCCTCCTCCACCGTGGGGCGCTGGCTCAAGGCTTGTATTTCGCTCGCCTATGAACATCAGGGCAGGCCGGTGACTTCTAGACTGACCATGCACTCGACCAGAAGCGCAGCCACCACGGCAGCCTGGGCAACCGTTCAGGAGATCCGCAAGGCTGCGACCTGGGCGGCACCCTCTCTATTTGTCAGACATTATAAATTGGACAAATATGCCTCTGCGGATGCGACCTTTGGGAGACATGTCTTATAGAGTGTTCTTTCCAGTGACAATTGAACATCGGGGTTGAGGGTTCACATTTACCTGCCCTAGTGACATTAACTTGGGTATGTCCATGCTTGGACACTCCAAGCAGTGCACAGGAGAATGACCATTGGCTTACCTGAAGGGTCATTCTCTGTGCACTGTGGGAGTGTCCAACCCCGCCCTGGGGTGAAGTTCCTGATTGATCCATTTTTTCCCTTGTTGGAGGATCTACAGCGTGTGAACATATGTCTCGTTGGGACCATGCCTTCATTGAAAAACTGAGGCCAGAAGGAGCCAGAGGGCGTGGCCAAGAATTTCAGTCCAGTCCTTGGGCAGTGTGACAAAATTTAACCCATGCTTGGGCACTCCCGCAGTGTACAGAGAACGATCCTTCAGGTAAGCCAATGGTCAATCTAGTGTATGTTACTGTGTAAAAGCAAAAAGCTGAGGCTGTAATTATTATCTTCTACTGTGCTAAAAACAGTCAGATGTCAGTGTTTTTCCTTCCCCCTCCCCTAGTTTCCCATTATTTTCATTTTCCTTTGTATTTTATATTCTGATAAACTAATAAAAAAATTGAATTGAGAAGGGTGACACAATTTTGAAACACTGAGACATAATGAAGATTACCTGTTAGGCTGTATATATGAATTGTTACTGAAATATGACATTGGAAATTGGAAAAGAGAAACTTTGGTAATCATACAAGATTGGAAGACCAGAATTGGAGAATATGCAGCAATGATAAAATATATATCCATAATAGAAGTCTAACCAAATTTAGTATACATAATGGCTCCCTTATATACTGTACATCACATAGCAAGGGAAATTTAAAGATTTGAAATACTGTTTCCAGGAAAAGAGGCATGAGACCAACCAAAAATAACACATGAAAGGACTTAACCTTGACGATTATTTGCTAGTTATCTTCTTAAGTGTAAAGTAGAAATACTAGGTATGGTTGTTGGTTGGGGAAACATAGCAGAGAAGGGTAGAATATTATCACTAAAAGGTTTTTCCATAGTGCTTTTACTAATGCTTACAGGTAGTTCTTGACTTATGACCATATTTGGGACCAAAACCTCTGTTACTAAGTGATGCAGTCACTAAATGAGTCATGCCCGATTTTACTTCTTCTCCCTGCAGTCATTAAGCAAATCACCATGGTTGTTTAGTGAATCCAGCTTCTACCATTGACTTTGTTTGTTGGAAGCCCCCTGGGAAGGTCGCAAATGGTGATCACATGACTGGGATGCTGTAACCGTTGTTAGTACATGCTGGTTGCTGAGCACCCAAATTTTGATCACATAACTGCAGGGATGCTGCAACCTTTATAAATGTGAGAACTGGTTATGTGTCACTTTTTTCAGTGCCATCATAATTTTGATCAGGAAAATGATCATAAGTTGAGGACTACCTGTATTTTTTTTACTTTGTTCTTTATTCTAGTATAAACTTTCTCAACAACTGTTAAATTTAGAAGTAAAAACATTAAAGATGAAAAGAAAACTATTGTTCTAATCTTGGGATAAGGAATTTGTGGACTCCAGTGTGGGCTGAATTTTTAATACTCACTTTCAGACTGTGGCCCATACTTCCTTGGTTGATGAAATCTGTAATCCAGCAACTTTTGGAGAGGCCAGGTGCTACCCTTCCCAACTCTAAAAGAAATAAGATTTATCAGGCTAACAAAAATAAAGATCTCAACCCAAAAAATAACACACCACTACGTGTCTTTGAAGCATGCTGTCACAATTGAGGAATTATCTTGAGGGCTTTGTTTAGTATTGTAATAGGACAAGGAAATAATGATTGGTGCCTGAGGTGTGGTAAAAAGTGACTCATGAAAGTGCTGTGGGTATATTTGTTTTCACAGGTCTGCTTGGCTGCAGTGGGCCTAGTGGGTGACTTATGTCGGGCTTTGCAGTCCAACATTCTGCCATTTTGTGATGAGGTTATGCAGCTGCTTTTAGAAAATTTGGGGGTGAGTAAATTGATGGTCTAAAAACAAAAGGAAAATTCCACATCTATCATTGAAAGAAACCTAAAAAATCGTAGCAGAAGTGTAAACACTGATTTATTGCTTGTTTGCAGTATAAATAGAAGATACACTTCTAATTTATGTATGAAATTATGAAAAATATTAAAATGTCATAATTTCTATTACAACCTTCTGAGTGCCAGTTAATAACACGTGACACCTATTTTTTAAAAATGTATTTTCATCTATTGCTCACCATATTGATTAAGTTGGCTAATCTTTTAGTGACCAGCAAATCTGGTAGTAATATGATGATGGGTAATACTGGGTTGCTGAGACTTGGGGGTATATATCTCTGTATTTGAAGATTGGGGCCTATTGAATGAGTGAGAAATATGCTGAGGACTAAAATACTTTTCAATTTTGTTAATATAAAATGGGAAACATCCTGAACACCTTGGGGACAATGTCTGATAAAATTTAAGTATCCAATTTAACAATGTAATTTCTAAAAGCTAAACTGCTTATTGTGAATAAAATGACAGTTTGCCTTTACAGAATGAAAATGTTCACCAATCTGTTAAACCACAAATTCTCTCAGTATTTGGAGACATTGCTCTTGCAATTGGAGGAGAATTCAAAAAATACTTAGAAGTTGTATTGAATACTCTACAGCAGGCTTCTCAAACCCAGGTTGATAAGGTATACAATTTTGGGGGCTCTCATATGTTCAAGATGATGGATGGATGGTAGCTAGAACAATAATCCCAAACTAACTCCTTTTTATGTTTGGCCTTAGTCTGATTATGATATGGTAGACTACCTGAATGAACTGCGAGAAACCTGCCTGGAAGCATACACAGGCATCATTCAGGGTCTGAAAGGAGATCAAGAGAATGTACATCGTGAGTCCTTTTTTCATTTTCTCAAGTACCACAAATATTAACCTTTGTGCATGAGATTCAGTTTCTGTCATTGTTAACGCACTCCTGTTAATGGAAAAATGTCAGTGCAAACATCTTAATTTGCTTTGGTTTTAGATTGGGGCTATTGCCTTAGAGAATGTGGTTGTATTCTTTATTCTCCTTGTATGAGCTTTCAGGGTATTTTTGGTTGTCAGAGGTGGAGTTAACATAAATGGCCTATTTCTACAAGTTACCAGATGCCCTTTGTTTACATCTATATTTTTACAAAAAAACAATAACCACAACCCTTTCCCAACTTAAAATGAAACAGGTATATGCACCAATGCTACTTTCCATTTAGAGCCTCTCTTCCTGAGTTCATCCTGAACAGTTGTAATGTTTCCTGTTTAAATATACCAGTGCATTTTGGGAATAGATTGATGTGTACCCATCCTAGTCTAAGAAATCAGATTTTCAGAATAGTGAGACATTTTGGGGGTGAACAAAGGTTTTCAGATTTGGGAAGATTAACTTCTGTGGGATTTTGCCCTTTCTTTTCAATTTGTATTAAAATAGCACACAATACACAATTTTAGGGAGATAGCTTTAGATTAGAATATGTGTCAACATTTTAAAAATTAAAGGATTCTTTTCCTCAACTATTAACTTGCATTAAACGCAACTGAACTGCCATAGGTTAAGGAGTGATGAATGCGGAATAGATAATGGCAGAGGCTGAAGGACTGTGTTTTCTAAGCAAACCCCAATGCTTTATCCTATAGTCCCACAAATTCATGAATCCCTTCTGTTCCAGCACACTATAATCGGTAAAACCATTCAGTGTTATTAGAAGCTTGAGTTGTCAGTCACAAAGCTATATTTGCCTTCTCTCTCAAATACTGCTGTGTTTCTTGTGTAGAGATACAGATCAGTTTTTGTACAAGCACTAAAAATAGTTATAAGCTAGCAGGTACAAGGAAGGTGTAGAGGCAATGCTAGAAAAAAAGAATATCTTTGTAGGTTGCCTTTGATTCAAATGAGGCACATCACTGAACAAGATGCTAAGATAAACCTTCCATACTTGTTGATATTGATAGGAAGAAATAAACCCATAAATCCTATAACACTAAATTATGCTTCCTTTTCAGCGGATGTGATGCTGGTGCAGCCTAGAGTAGAATTCATCTTGTCTTTCATTGACCATATTGCTGCAGATGAAGATCATAGTGATGGAGTCGTAGCCTGTGCAGCAGGACTGATAGGGTAAATGCTGAAGACTTAACTTTGTGCTTGAGCACAAGGGTAGCTTAAAAGTCCCATAGTGAATCTTAGTCTTTCCTCATATAAAGATGAGATACTTTTACCAAGAGCTTTTTTTTAACTCATAAAGCTTCTAAAACTGTTTCATGTTGAACCACTATTAAATATTTAGAAGTTGTGTGACAAGAATAACCCACTAAATGTCCACCACACTATTCTGTTATATTCTGTTTGTCCTTGCTTAACAATGGTAATTGGAACTGAAGTTGGGAGCAAGTAACCATGAACAGGAGTTGAGTTCAAAGCACTAAAAGTATATTACATGCAACCTACAAATTACAATCTGATCTACTAATGGTCAAACCAAATTAGCGCTAGATAAGGGTCAACAGAATTCATGGCGGGCTGGACTTGGGTCTCCTAGGAGCATAGTGACTCCAAACCTGATGTGTTTGACCCCACCCTCAGGCTCAGCCTGCTCATCTCCTACATCACTCCTCCCTCCAACTTGGCTCCCTCCCTCCTCCATGGGCTCTTTGAAGCTGCTCTCTCCCCCACCTCCATAGTCTCTTCAAAGTCTGAGTTCTTGTGGGAACTTGACAAGGGCGGGAGAGAAACAGTCTCAAAGGACTGTTCCTCTCCTGCTTCTGAAGTGCCTGGAAAGCCAGGTGGCAGTTGCTGAAACACAGAAATAGCATTAGAAGGTCCCTCCCCTCCCCAGGAGTTGAGGGCCAGAAGTGGAAGGCCAATCATAAGCACCCACCCAGAGTGAACCATAGAGGCTGGGTAGCTCCCATCATTAGGTTATTTGGGAGGTGCAGGGATCTGGGAGCTTGGTTGGTCATGACTTCTCAGGGAAGCATTGGTGAAATTGGCAAACTAAATCAGGAAGACTGCTTTGCTTGGTTGAGCTGTTGCTTCAATAGGGCTTGGCAAGCAAGTTGCTCCTGTAAGAAATCAACAACTCCTGGGACAGATGAGTCTTCTGTGGGGTTGTTTGGTAATACTGTTGGGTGTGTATGGAACAGAGCTTGAAAGTGTGTCATTGAAATCGATATGTGGAGAGAATTATAAGAAAATTCTGTCAGGAGCAATAATGATGGCCTGTTGTCTTGGCTGTAGGTGCGTTAACACCTCAAATATTGTTGGAGCAACTAGTTAAGTCTTCTTTGCCTCACCATTCATGACCAGGTGGTGGGCTGAAGGTAGGCTGACTTGGACATTCAAAAGCTAAAACAGTGCCTTCCAAAATCTGAATTGGAACTGTGGGCCTTTGTCTGATATCAGTCTTAAAACCATTCCACGATATCAAAAGACTGGTCTAGGAAAAGCTGGGCTGTTTCTTTGGCATTGGGTAAGCCCTTGCAGGGTATTAAGTGAGCCATCTTGGTGAAAAGACATACCACCACCAATATAGACATGAAACCTTGGACCGGGATAAATCAGTAATGAAGTCCAGAGAGACTATGCCATGGATGTGTGTGTGTGTGTGTTTGTGTATGTGTGTGTAAAGGGGTTGCAAGAGTCCTGCCAGCTTCTGTTGGAAGGACTTGGCCCTCCTGCATGTGTGGCAAGAGGCCACATAGTCCTTGATGTCCACCACCATCTTACGACATCAAAAGTCTCTTAATGTTCTGTGCAGAGTTTTGAACACTCCCCCATGCCCCACTGTCTGGTTGTCATGGCAAATCTGCAAATCCTCTTCCCTGAAAGTGGGGGAAACTACTATTGTGCTTCAAGGCTCCCCCCTCCAGTGCGAATGAGGATACAGTACCTGTTGGGGTTGCCTTGAGGTTGTCTATCCGGGCCCAAGAGAACTGGTCTAGAAGCTGTTGTGCTTGACTAGTGATTAAGTCCTGGTGTGGTTGAATTGCTCCTAGACCAGTTTTCCGGCCCGGATGGATAACCTCAAGGCAACCCCAACAGGTACTGTATCTTCAGTCTCCAAAGTGAGGCGTGGGAGGAGTCACAACTGGGTATTAACACAGCCCTTTTGCCTGGAGACTGAGGTAAATCTTGAGGCCACACCTCCGCTCCGCCTCCTGACTTTCCCAGATTAACCTCAGTCTTCGGCCCAAAAGGAGTGTTTTTCCTGACTCTCCCTTCACTTCGAAGAACTTTTCAACAGACAAATTCCTTTTTTTCGGATCACCCCTCCTCATCTGTGCTTCATCTGCTGCTAGCCCTAGANCTCAGAGAATGGTGGATGTGATACCAGCCGGAAATGAGAAGGCTGCAAGATTCTTGCTGCTACTGGAGTATGTTGAACTTAAGAATACTCTGGCTTGTATGAAAGAGCATCTGGTATCCAGTTCTTTGAGCCTGGGACATATTGAATATAAAAACTGAAGTGTGAGAAGAATTGGCTCTATTTGATTTGATTTGATTTGATTTGATTTGTCTGGGCAAAAGTGGCTTGGTCTGTTGCAAGATGTGTAGATTCTTATACTCTGTGTTGACATCTATGGGAAAACCCTAACCCACCCAGACTCCTTGTTAAAAATGTCATAGTTTCATTCTGGGGCAGTCAAAGCTCTTGAGAAGAAAGTGCAGGGGAACAGGCATTTCACCCACCCTCTTGTAAAACAACAGCTCTGATTGCTACATCTGAAGCATATGTCTAAACAATAAATCTCTTTGATGGGTCTGGATGCTGAAATAGGGGCTGATGGGCAAAGAACTGCTTTAACTCTGAATGCTGTTTGTTGCATGTGAGTCCAAGCAAATCTAACTCCTTTCTCTGTCAGTTGGGTAAGCAGTTTGTCTTTATGGGCAAAGCTGGGGATAAATTTTCTGTAGAAGTTTGCAAGGCCCAGGAAATTTTGAATGACTTTGGCTGTGCAGGGAGCTTGCCATTCCAACACTGCCCTGACTTTCTGGGGGTCCATCTGGATACCATTTGTGGAGATACGGTAGCCCAAGTCTGTGTTAGATCAAAGGCACACTTTTTCTGGTTTAGCAAAGAGGTGGTTGTCTCTCAGTCTACTCGGAACTGTACACATATGTTCTTTGTGCTGAGATTCATCCTCAGAGTAGATCAGTATGTCATTCAGATACAGGACAAACAATTTATCAATGAGATGAGAAAAAGCTTGGTTCATAAATCTGGAAAATATGTTTTGAATGCTTGAAGAGCCCCTCGTCTAAGCTGTTGCAGGTAAGATGTTGTCATTTCCCAGTTCTGTGGTTTGCATTTGGGGTGGCTCTCACTGTAACTGTGGCTGGAATGCCTGTCTCCTCTCCTGGGTGGTTTGGAAGTGCAGTCAGTTCAGTTCAGTTTATTAAACTTGTATGCCACCCTATTCCCGGAGGAACTCAGGGCGGCTAACAAACCAAATAGGGAAGGGGGCAATACAAAGAAAACAAACAAGACAAAATCCCCCCCCCCCCCAAAAAAAAACCCAGATTAAAAAACTCATCAACAGTCGCACAATTCGAGTGGGGCTGGGAACTCATCAGCCCCA